GTAGGGGTCCCAGGATAGGCTGTCGCACAATTTCTATAATGCGGCTTTAACTTGAGAGGAAGGGTCGTGATGGTCGTGGGAAAATGGTGTGTTTGGGTGACCATTCATTACCGGTCTTAAAATTGATCCCCATCTCCTGTTGAAGAAGAAAAAACAGGAATCACAAAGGGGTGGTTATAGCGAGTGGATCATGGACACCCCTTATGTGACTCCTGGAAAGACCTGCGGCAAAAAGCATGCTCAGAGGTTTCCACTCCGGAACTTGCCATCTCTCTCTCTCTCTCTCTCTTGCTCGCTCACTCACTCTGCGTGTCCCACATCCTCGAAACCAGCTCTACCAACCAACCTGGCCCCATTTCCCTAACTCAACAGGCCCTGTCGACAGGGTGTCGAAAATGATCCTCACGCCTCAAACATCCTCAAGCCAAGAAACTCCTTGACTTTCTTTCATCTTCTCCTTGCTGATGGTCTTCACTGCCCGCTTCGCACCAGTGGCGCGGATCCTGCCCAAGCGGACGGTGCCAAAGGCACCTTTGCCCAGTTCGCGCTCGATCGTGTAGACACTCTCTAAGGTACCTGCGAGGGCGTCGTGGGGCTTTTGGAGAGAGAGAGAGAAGAAACAAGGAAAAACCCACGAGATTGGATGCCTCAAACATCCTCAAACCAAGATCTGATGACTTTAGTTCTTCATTAACGAGGAGGTCATTAATTCCGTTCATGTTACATGTTTTAATCATATGTATATACCTTGAGGAACTGTCAGGGGCCAGGGGTGTGATCACTCTTACTCTCCACGTTCACACTGAACAAAAGGCACCTGGATTGACCGCCGGTAGAACATGGAAGCTCTTTGACCCTGCATGCAAGCACCAACCCAGGTCCCCCACATCCCGCCACGAGCACGTCGTGCTCGTTCCATCCGGCCTGGATTGTTGATGACCAGCTGCAATGCTGCAGAAGGGACATGCCCCATCGTCTCCACCAGCTTCAAGTTCCGACAGTGTTTCCTGCGGAGAGAGCAACACGAGAGAGCCCGTGGCTGGACGGAACTCGGCCAAGCGGTTGGAGGGTGAAGCTAGAGGTGACATGAGATGGCAAACGGAAAGTACCTTAACCAAGTGATGGTTAGTATGTTCCTGGCCCCATCTTGATGGAACGTCAAAATTAGCCTCTTCGCGGCTGGGACAAAGAAGCTTGAAGCACAACTGGGTCCCATAGATAATGTATTAGAGGCCAACTCAGTTTGATACTGGCCTTCATGACCGCTGACTAGATGGGAATGGCTCCGATTCTGAGCCAGTCTCAATTCTCAATCAGGTCCGACACTTGATGGACCAAAGTGCTGAGCATTCCGTGATGGTGTTCGGCCTTGCCGTGCTTGTCTCTGGGCTGGTTGGGTTTGGGTTGGTATTTGGCTTTCACGAGCTCTGACCTGCTTTCACCAAGCCTCCAGCTAGCAATACACCTCAAGGGCGGTTGTCAAGGGGTTCGGAGCTCTTTTGGTTGTTGGATTGCTTTCCCCCTTCACCGACCCTGAACAATAGGAGACCAACATACCCACTGTATTAACAGTATTAATCCCCCAACCTCGCTGTGGGCGCTTTTCTTGCCAACGCGCCGCGCCAAGGCGCAAATGACGGATGACGCGCTCGCTCCATCCCATCGGCCTGTGTGAGCTCCGAGTGCTGCAGTCCGATGCGGCTGAGATACCACTGTAGCTCTTGCCATCCATGTCGCTCAGGTCGGACTGTGACATGCTATTCCGCGTCTTGGCCGAAAAGCTCCCCGTGGACATATTTCCCCGGAAGGCCTGCTGCACCTGGCGAATCAATCACATCTGCAAGCCGAAGGGTCCCAAACAAATGGCCAAACAGCAGGCATCTAACTTACAGCAAAACAGTCTGCTAAAATGTCCACCGGGTTGCCAGATTCCCACCACAAATAAAGCTCTAGTATAATAACCATAACATATAACAATAACTAACAATATGGCTAGACTGAAGTGTCTGCTGTTCCAACAATGACTCCAACTGTGCAACGTTCATGTTTATATGCTTATGATGTACCTTACAGCCTAACTCTGAAATCTCAAGGATTCATAAAAAAGCAAAAAAAAAGGCAAAACCACACTCACAAAGGATGACCAGGAAATGCAAAAGAAATGCATAAAAAAAAGCAAAAAAAAGGCAGCTGGTAAAAAAGAGTGCATAAAAAAAAGAAAAAAACATAAAAAAGGAAGCAAAAAAAAAAAAAAAGCAAAAAAAAAGCAAAAAAAGCAGAACAGCAGTTCAAAAAAAGCAAAAAAATGCACATGCACAACCAAATTTCACACACCACCTTTTTTGTGCGATTTTTTTGCATTGTGTTTTGCATTTTTTGTGCGTTTTTTTGCATTTTTTTTTTGCTTTTTTTGTGCGTTTTTTTTTTGCGTTTTCTCAAGGAAACGCACAAAAAATGCAAAAAAAATCGCAAAAAAAAACGCAAATACAAAGCAAAAAAAATGCAAAGGCAAAGACCAGAACGTTTTTGATCGCCTTCGTTTTGCTTTTTGATTGCATTTGTTTGCATTTTTTGTGCATTGTTTTTGCATTTTTTGTGCCTTTTTTGTGCATGTTTTTTGCATTTGTTGTGCGTTTTTTGCATTGGTTTAGTGGACAAATGCTTTTTTTTTTCGCATTTTTTTGCTTTTTTTTTTTTGCATTCCAAGGCATCCTTTGGTGACTTGTTTTTGCGTTTTCTGTGCATTTTTTTTCGGGATTGGTTTTGCATTATTTTTGCATTGTTTATGCATTTTTTATGTTTTGCTGTGTCATCAGAACTAGCTTTAGCGTACATCATAATTATATGCCAAGAACAACGAACGGGTCAACATCCCGAACTGCAACCTCACAAAAACATTCTTTTGTGGTCAACGGGCAAGTCGATTGAAGTCAGGATTCTTTGGGATACAACGGTCGCCCAAGCTTCAGCCAACACAAATATGGCAAACATTTCTTTGATCCTGGTTGGTTGGTCCACACCCATTCACCGAATTGCTTTTGAACCTCCACCATCTTGCCACCCAACAAAAAATTCTTTTCCAAACGGCAAAACATCACCAAACACCCCATCGCCACCCAGTCACCCCGTCCGTCGGTCCCTCGTCATCCTTTGTCCCACCTCGCAGAAGTCGGCCAGCGCCACGACAGAAGTGTGAGCTTCAGAGGCACTACTGGGCAGGTGTTCGTCCGAGCCCTGTAGTGCGGATTTGATGTGGAGCGTCTGGGCCTGACGGTTTGATGCACGAATCGGCGGTGAAATGTGCAGCTGAGCGGCGAAAGAACGGTTTGACATGGCATATGATACACCTATAGGTGTAATGCCTACATTGACCCCTGAAACCACCCTAATACAATACATCCGTGTATATATATATTATGACATACATGGAGTGTTTGGGTACTATACGGGTGTTGCAGGCCGCGGTGTGTTCCACTGAGTATGGCCATGGTTCACTGGCATTGCGACCAACGACCGCTGGCGAGACGCAAAGGAGAGGAAACATGAGGAAACTCCCTTATTAAGACCCCAAGTAGATCACCAATATGTATTGGAAATACCATTTCTAGCCTTTGGGAGGAGTACGCCCTACGCCTCGCCCAGCTCCCTCTCTTCGTGGGTGCGCCTGGCTGACGAGGTCGTCCCGCTTCGCGGGCTCCTCGCCGATTCCCTCATGCGCACCGGGCTCCTTTTCATGTGAGCAGTGCCAGCATGCACTGCTTTCTCCCGTCTGCACACCGCCCATCAGCGAGGGTGTCTGGACCACATCACCTAGTCTTCGGGAAAACTCGGTGACTCGGGGTGAAGCGTTTCGGCGACCTGGGACCCGTTCCCCGCGGAACAGCGGAAAAGCTCCGTCCATCACAGTAAGACCCAACTTCGGAAGGAGCGCAAGGAGACCCTGACTGACCTGAGGCTTATCAACCACCACCTGGCTGGTAATTTAAGGAATGTTCATCAACAAATATGCCATAATATGCCCACTTCGAACAAGTTTGGTTCAGTATGGTTCAGTTGTGTTCAGTTCAATCGCACGGGCCCAGCGGCCCAACCAATCGGTTAGCAAATCTACGGATGGATTTTCAAACAAAAGTTATCCGACACATCCGACAGTGACGCGATTAACGCATCTCTTTGCAGAAGTCCAGGTCACAGGCATGGCAACGGAGGCCATTTACTCTGTGCTGTTTGGCCTGCTTGGAAGAACAAGCCGCAAATAGTGGTGCTTTTGCTGAGTTGTTGATGGCCGTCACTGGTTCCAGCAGTGTGTGCTCGATATGTTGATGAAGCAGTGAGGTTGCGAGTTGTCAGGCCTTCAGACCTACTTCACTCGAGCATAAAATCTTTCACACAAAGCATTCTTCAGCTTCTTCGAATGATCAGATCGCTTCCTACGTCTCGAAGCATCCTCGGATCTCGAATCCTGATGTCTGGATGTCCGCGTGTACCCAAGCCCCCCGCCCAAAATGCAATGGATGTACAAAAGCCAGGTAGCCCATGTAGTACCATTGGCCGTCACAGGATGTCCGTCGCTTCAATTGCATGTTCGTAACATCACTTGCACAGATCCACTCAATTACGCCTTGCAAAGATTCAACAAAATCAAATTGATTGGGGCCAGAATTGCCCCCCAAGCTCTTCTTTCTTGCACATTTCCGGTGGCTCCAGGTCCCAAGAAATCGCCCATGTTCAGACTCTCCCCCATCCAAGGCCTTAGCCAACTACCCATTGGCAGACTAGCCGCCTAGCCATGCTTAATGGTAAACCTCGGCGTATCTTCAAAAGCCTCCCAATGCATCCCCAGTCACTCAAAGGATAACTACAGTAAGTGCATGGCAGGCAACAACAAATGATGATTTTTTAAAGGTCTTGAGAGCTCCTGAGCTTTTCAAGAAGCTCCACGCCACAGTCCCCACGGCTCGCATATTCCATGCACCCGCGCGAACTTGCACCCATCCCTCCTCATAGCCGCCAGAGAGCACGGTGTTCGCGCGCAAGTCGGCCACGTCGAAGCCAGTCTCTCGGAGGTCGCCGGAGACCAAAGTGTTCAACTCCTGACAGGACGAGTTCGTCCAAACGACACGAGAGGCTCTCGTGAGAGGATTGGTCTGGATTTGCGGATCACATATAATAGCTCAGGTATGGGGTAACCATGGGTCACCTGTGTGCAGGACGCTCTTCAGACGAAACATTGTGACATTAAACTACCATCTGCTTCTCCACCCACAGCGACAACAATTCTCACTCTTGAAACTCTTGGGAGGTTCACGTTTGCCTGCCCAACTCATCCCAACTCAGTGAGAATTGGCAAAATGAAAGCTTCAAATGCTCATCAATTGTCAAACAAACTGAATTATATAACTATATATATAGTTATATGATATAATGGGCTGCTCCAAGGTATTGATTGAATTAGCAAATCGTCCATACACAAGCCAGGAGTGAGACATAGTGAAACCACATTCGATCTCTATTTTGCAATCTTCCTGCCTATCCGTTAGGTTACCCCCCAGTCTGGGATACCTGGGCTAACAACAACCCCTATTTTTGGAAGGAAGAAAGAAGTCTTTCGCAATCCACGGGTAGCGACAGTGGTCGTGTCGTGTGCTTACTCCACCACGTGCCAGCACCAAACATTCCGTGGCATCAAATCCTTGAAAATACAACATCATCAGAACATCGCCTACTCCACAATGATCCAACATGTAATGTGCGCTGTTGATGGATCAATCCCACTGTAGATGGCTGTCCATCCAAGTTAAATATGATGTTTTTTTCGTCTGCAGTCCACATAAGTCTAAGTCTCGGTCCCTCCCTCTCTCCCTCCCTCCCTCTCCCTCCATCGCCTTCAGATCGATTTCTGCCCTAGCTATCCCCAGCTAGGATAATTCTTTTTAGATGCATGGAATGATCAACGCCCTATCTCTGCTGGCACCACCGCGGGTGGGATCAACTGAGGGCCAGGCATATGGATCGAACATCTTCAGCCATGTCACAGGGATCACCTGCATCCATACAGATCACGCAGGGTAGGATGGTCGTTGGGTCATTGAAGCGAATGGGGAGAATTCGGCAATGACTTGTCAATTGCCAATTCTAATGGCAATGACTTGCTATGGTTATTCTTTGCTACACCATGGTGCTTGGCTGATTGCCAACGGTGCTTGGCATTTGGGGAACCATGGGCCATTTTGGTGCTTGGCGAACAGCCTCCGCACGATTCGAAGGTGAACAAACTGCCACAGCTGACCTCATCTGATGTCACATCGCCGTTGTACCATGCGGTACCTATGTTTTCATCATCCGAATCACTTCCCAGCGTGTCAGTCCTTCTAGTCCTTCTATAGTAGTTATTGTAAAGCCAACCAACCGATCTAATTAGCAATCATGATTGAATCAATAAATTGAATGTAACTTAAACCGATCTTTTTGCAAGAGGGAGATCAAATCCCGTCAGGTTTCCTTCGCAAGGTGGTGTGCCCTTGGATTCCGCACATGGGCCAAATGGTTCCAAAATTGATGGGCTGCGGCTGCTGGGTGGAGGCTGCTTTGTGGCCGGAATCATTCATGAATTCATGGAACCACCACCACCGGTGAAGTGCCACCACCCACAACCTTCCAATCTTGCGTTTGCATGCGCACACAGGCCGGTCATGAAGTCATGTTTAATCATGTTTATGTTCAGACTTCATGTGCCATGGGTGACCCGACAGTTCGGCTCAAACGAGCTCAACCGAATCTGACAGCGGAACCCGCTGAGATGTTGAGCACGTCATAGTACGCTTCAGGAATCCAACCTCCAACTGGTCAAAGAATCTTGAGGAATCTGAAGTCCAAGGACCCAGATTCCTCACAGCAACTAGCCATCTGAGGCACCCAACCCAGCCTCAGAGAAGCCCTGATTTCGGATGATCTAGATTGATTGGGGCGATCCCGGGCTCCTCGGAATTCATGAAATGCTAGTCAAAGACTAGAGGGCGGGCATGCGGCTGCCTGGTGTTCTTGCGGTGACTCAGCAGCAAAATGCTTTGAGTGCTTTTTAAGCTCTCAAATCCTGATATCCATGCATCCCTTTTCGCCCACTCCGCGAACAATCCCAGCTCCAAACACGGTCAGTCCGAACCTTCTGCAAACCGCTCAGGAAGGCCGCCGTGTGCCGTTGGAATTGGATGTTCGTCCTGTAGGGGGTCGGTTGGTCGGCGTGATGCGAAACGCCGTTGTCATCATATTCATTGGAAGGGACCAAATGGACCAGGGTTCTTCATCCGAAGGGGCCAGTTCTTCATCCAAGGACTTCTCTCAATGAGGCCCCTTTACTTGGAAAATCTCATAAAATCTCGTTCCTTTTCGGCTCGGGCTGGGAAAATTGAGCTCCGCGTTCCAAGCACCGACTGGGAAGTTCAGTTTCATGGAAGCCTGACCCACCCAGTCTGACGCCGCGCTCGTTGAACCGGCTGGCTTCACTGGGTGAACCAGGAACTCAGGGACAACCCGGACAGGTGAACGGTGAGCCGACTGGTATCGGTTGGTACACCCTCTCTTGGCTGAAGTTGGGGTACTTGGAACAAGAAGATAATCGATTTCACCCTGCAGCCTGCAAACAGTGAGTTGACATTGTGGAACATCCAAGTAGCAAGGTCCTAGTGACAATTACCATGTCATTCTTCCATGGTCATGTCTCTCTCGAAGCTGGCAAAGCAGCCTGTCATTCTGCAGGCCTATAGTTGGCCATGAGGTGCAAGTAACGGGTGAGGTTTTCACGTGTCACCTCAGCTGTTGTCACCTGATATCCCATGGTTTAACAGCTCGGGCTTGCTTTATTGCTTTAGGAAAGACATACATCGATGTGACTTGCAAGAACTAGAGGCCCACAGAGTTGCAGGGAAAACACAAACTCCTCCGACAAACAGGCTCTAGGCATCTCTACCCAAATCCAAGTGGTGGCTTGGTTGCGGGACATAATAGCTTTGCCAAACATTGACTTTGACACAGTCAACCACACTCTTCCGCCCTTTCTACTGTGATCCAGTCTTGTACCCGATATACATACAGGAGTTAAACTGCCGGCATTGGTTGTCAGCTGCATTGTTGTTATCCCGGAGCATGCCCCTGCGCTCATGAACCTCTGGCTCAAGAAAACACAAGCTCTGATGGGCCAATGTTGCATCTGCTCAAGGTGAACACGCTCACAAATACAAGGATTTCAATTTTACAGGCTTAAAGGCTTCTATGCACATGCTTCTAAACAAAACAGAACAACAGGAGAAACACTCGGTGACTCTGCAAGTCCAATGCCACTCACTCCCAGAGATGTGGAGAACGGGTTCTTCCGCAGGCAACCCGCTTTGAGCGGCTCCATCGAACCTCCCAATACATGTTGCTCACCCCACCGAAGGTTTGAACACAGCCAAAGGGCTGGCGTGTTGCTGCCATTGGGGATGAGATTGATATCCTGGAGATGGGCGGGCCCATGGGCCCATGGGCCCAGGGGTACTGGATGACATTAAATCAGCCAGAATCTTGTTGAGCATGGACGTGGCACAAATGAAAGCAATTCAGTAAGGTTGTTCCTCATCTCAGGATTGCTAGCGCCTAGCGAACAGAACAGCAGCCACATCCATTGGTTGCTATCCGTTGCACAGCTGTCAGAGGGTAGTACCAACATGGATCCCGCAATGGCTTGTTTGATCTTGTTTGTGGGAGACACTTGTTCCTTGGACTGGATCGCTGCTTGAGCGAAGGCTAATTTTAACGAATTCCAATGACTATAATATATATCTTATAAGATCTTATAAGCATATATAATATATCCGAGAGACAGGCTTCCAGTGAACCGCCAAATCAGCTCCAAATCCCGTTCCCACCACCCCACCGCACACCTTTTCGAACAAAATCAGTGGGAACTAAGCACCTTGTCACTGGAGCAGGTACCAAGTGGGGGGCGACTCTACTTTTTCTGGAAAAAACAATCGAGGCTTCCATCCACCAAACATCCCCACCCATCTCCCCCGTGCCTTGTGCATGCCTTTTTCGGTGACTGAAATGCCTTGGGCAGTGCACCTTTTGCAGAAACCAAATATATAAATCATTGTGACATGAGCGTCTGCCAAAACGTACTGTCAAGCAAAGGGCATGAGTCTGTCGAGAACAAATTCCAAGCCAAGCCCACACTTGCCCCGTTGGTGCGTTGGATTTTCAGGGTGCTCTGAAAGCTCGGGAAAGGCCACTCGTGGATCCCTTCAACAGGTCAACAACACCTCCAGTAAACTCCAAAGGTCCTCAGCTGTGATCTTTCTGAACAAGATCAGGTTGGACAAGCTCAACACCATCAGGTTAGTCACTCAGGATCCTGAGATTGTCCCAAGTGGCCCAGGTTCCGCTGAACTGACTGGGATGTTTGATCGGTGGCAATCGGCAAATAAAAAGAACCAACCAACACTCCCTGCTGTATGTAAACCATCTCCTGCAATACAATTCCCATCATTGCCCAAATGCTACATGATTTGCGTGGGCACTTTCCCTGTGAGGCACGTCCCACTTCCGGGCCACTGTCTCCAGGTCCAAGGCACTGAAGGTGATCCCCAACGCCTCCACATCTGGACACTCCTCGCCGGACAGACCGAGGAGTACGAACGTGACCTGACCCGTCGAGATCGGAACATCCCCAACGGTCAGCCGGTCAGGCATGGTGGATTCGGTCTTCACGGAAACCGTTGGTGTCAGTTGCTTCTGAAAGGAGTGGGGAGAGCACAGAGTGGGTGATCCAAGTGATCAACGGTGCTCAAATGGATGTTCCCCAACGGTGCAACAGCCTGAGTCCAGGTCCCGTGGGACCTGCGAATCCAAACACCAAAGCCGGTTCCGCACACGGTCCCACGCGGGCGAATCCTTCACATCTCTGCCCGTCCGATTGAACATCTGTGGCTTTGCTGAAGGGTTGGCTTTTAGGACCGTGAGTGGACTGCGAGAACCCCTGCAATTTCTCATACCACAACACCCCAACTTGTAACTCCAGGCGCTTGTTTAACCGCTCTGGACCGCTCTGATCCCTCTCCCGCTTCAGATCTGTGAAAGCTAAGACATGCCAAGAGCGAACGTCTCATGATTCGTCTCAACCATGGAACGCACGGCTGACTGTGTGCTGCGTTCGTAGGGGCAGCACCCCCATGCCGACAAAATTCGCAATGCAACCTGCACACCTTTGGAATCCAACAACCTGAGGCCTCATCCCATTTTTTCATAGAAACACAATAGGTCCTACAAATACTTCACACTGGAGGTTCTAGAGTCCTTTGAACCCACTCATTTTCAGAGTCTGCGTTGGCCGAAATGGCCTAGAAACGGGGGGGCCACACAGGTCACATCCAAGGTGTGCAGAGGCCTTTGCCCTTGCCTTCGGCGGTGGATGCTACAACTAATCCTACAATCAGACCGTAGAGGCCCAAGGCTTCCGCGAAGATCCTTACGTGAGACACCCAAGGATAAGTGTCCGAAAGCTCTCTATACTGTATCTATAGCATTAGTTATACTAATACCAGTTACTAGCTGTTGAACAATCATATTGGATCACACTCCAATGGAATACAAAAGCCACATTGCTATACTGCTATGCAGTGATACAGCCTGCAAACACTAGCAAGTCTTGACTGTATAAAGACCAAAAACAAAAACAAACTATATAACTAACCAACGCAGTTTCTTCCTGCTCCTTCATGTCTACAGCCAAGGCACAAGATCAGGATCATCCCTACGAAGAGTCGTGGCTGTTGGGCGTTGGCGCGGACGCCCGCTTCCCCCACGATGCCGATCGCCAGGCCCGCCGCTAAGGAGCTCATCCCCACGGTGAGGCCAGCGCCCAGGTGTGCGTAGCCCGAGTAGGCGGAGTAGCTGGGTGCCTGGGCGAACAGTTCCGCAGCTACTGAGCTGGATGCGGCGTGTTCAGGTGGAAACAAACAGGAGGATCTTTTCATTTTGAGGCGTTAATGGTTGTATAAGGCTTTTTCAAAGGCGTTCGCATTCCAGTTGCGTTCTATGACTTCCTATCTACTCCGACTGTCGGTGTGACCGTGTGACTCTTGACTGGTGCCTACTCCTATCCAGCCGCCCATTTGGCGCGCCCTTCACCGCCTGGATCTTGCCATTGATGATCACTGCGGTGATGAGACCGTAGATGCCCAAAACGCCCGCCATGACCACAGGGATGATGGACTTCATGATCATGTCCTTGAACGAGAAAGGAAAATGAGTCAAACACAAAACAAACATGTCTAAATGGTTCCTATAAATGGTCTTTAGGGGAATCAATGCCGTAATTGATGAATACAATACCCAAGTGAATGCGAAAAACACAGACATATACAGTGAAAGCGAAAAACACATACATATCAGTATATATATAATTACATAATCATTTACGGTATATATATATCACATATACCAGCACCCTCGAAGAGGTCAACTGTAAAAGCCACCTGGCTAGGAGACCTGGCAGGGAGGGTGGTTTTTCACATCCAAACACCGACTGCGACCGGGTGTCCGGTCGCATGACGCCCAAACAGGAGATGCCAACACCTGAACGGGCCGGCTCGGTGTTCCGGCCGAGTGGGAGCATTCCTGCTCGGTGGGTCTTCAGCTGGGAGAAAGCTGATGTGCTGGGTCTTGACAGGAAGAACCTGAGGATCCAAATGTGACTCTGTAGAAGCTCTGGGGCCATACTTTTGAGGATCCCAGCACCATGAATCCTTCCTGGTCTGGACGGTCAGTATTAGAAATGTATAGAGTACATCAGGTGAACTGTGTGAGTGCTCTCTCATGAGTAGTTGAGAGCGGCCTGATTTGGCAGTCCCGTAGGCGGCACCCATGTTGGCGAAGACCAGTGCCGAAGTGACGCCCAAAAAGCCGAAGAAGGTCGAGGAGGGATCGCACGGCTGCATGGCAGGAGCTTTTCTCTCGTCACGACGTGACTGACGTGACTGACGCGACTGCGCAGTGCTCAGCTGGCGCGTGTGCTCTACGGGTCAAATCTCTCTGAAACAGCTTGAAGAGGCAAAGCAAACTTGAGACCTGCCGCTAACTCACTCTTTTCCCGCGGTCTTCCCCGGTATTCCCCCAGCTTAACGTGATTCATGACAATCTAGTTTTCTGCTTTCATTGGATCAACATGTCCCTTGGCCAGCAGTTCTTTCGATGCCCAATCTGTGTCCCCTAAAAAACAGCTCGTCACGGAAAAAGAAGTCACCGCGGGCCGGGGGCATCCTTGATCTGCAGCATGTTGCGGTGGAGCTCTTTGTCCAAGGACGCGATGTCATCCACCTTCCATGCACTGTGGAGTCCGCAGAGCACATGGAGCACGGAACCAAGCAAAGTGATGGTTCAAAACAACATTGCTGAAAAATGGCTTACAGTATCTTACAGTACTCCTTACAGTAATTGAATATAGTCAAGAAACGTGATCTAAGAGTCTAAGAACCTGATGCCTCTTGACCAAGGTCTTCTGTCGACGGAAATCATCAAGAACGCAGAAGTACGCACTTAAAATCACTTAAATGGCCCACGAAACCACTGAGCGCCCGTTCAATCCTATACCCACCAAGCACCAGTGCCCCCCTTCCCTTCATAATTGCGTCAAAGCAATGTCTTGTACGTTATATTAAAAACAGGTCTAATTAGTGGCCAACCTAGCCAGGACCCACCTCCTAGCCACTTGGGAATAACTGCTGAGCCTTTCTTGCGAGTCAGCTTGGTGATTCACAAAAAAACGACCGCCTCGTTGATTCGACCGAGCACTCGGTTGAGAAACACCCGGCTGAACTGAGGTTCCAAAAGGATCATCTCGTAGATCGCCTGCGCGATCTCCGCGGCACGAAACGCTCAGCGGTCCGCAACGCACAAGCCGCCGCTGCCGCCAATTGTGCTGCACGAGCCGGGGGGGGTTAGCAGTTGTGCTGATGTGCTGGACCTTAGAATTGGAGGTGCGAACAAATCAACACCCTGCATGATTCCTGGCATGGGCTTTATGATGCTTTATGTAATTAAACTCTCTATATAATATTTTAGTTAGGGCCACTATGACCATGCACCTCTAGTCTAGGGCCTCAAGTGGTGAACCCATGAAACTCCAGGCAGAGGGGGGACTTGCAAAGTCTTCTATGAACCTGCCAATAGATCCAGCAAGGGCAGCATGACGGCACATCTTGGGAAGGTTGCCGCAACCTTAAATCAGGTCCAGCCACGCTGCGTTTGGGAATTTATGTAATAGTCCCTTCAACCTTACACGCCAAAAGCTCAAGAGAGAGTGGGCCGTCCGTGTACACGTTCATATCCTTTCACTTTCATCAGCAAGATCTACTGGGCTTGAGGATGGTGAGTCCCTCGCCTAGGTTGCACAATTCCACTGCCCAACAGCCATAGGCATGAAGGTTGGCCACTTCGACCCCTTGCTTCTTCCGCCCTCGTGGCATGTCGTGCCTCGTCTGGGGATCTCTTGGCATGGAAAAACACCTGGACCCATTTCCGGGGTCGTTTTTCCATGCCAGGAGATGAAGTCTGGTACTGGGTCTGGTAGTAGCTGATCGTACATGAAGGATATGGAGGATACATAGATGAGATGCATATTGGTGACATGAAGTGCAAAACACGTCTACATGAATCAAACTCATCCCTGGAAACTGGCTGCGCCTTCCCAACAACCTTCCCAAGGAATATGTACAGGTCAGCCGCTTGTGGAAACCTGCAGGAAAGCCGGCAACACTCCACACATTTTCAGCGTCATGTGCAATCGGTAAGTGGCTATGTGTGGCTCAAGCCCTCATCTTCCTCTTGTATAACCGTATAACCTCTTGGAAAGGGGAACCAGCAGGTCTCGCAACCATGTGGGCATGCTTCCGGAAGCCGTTCCAAAAACAAGAGTGGAACAAGTACAGTAGGAAAACAAGTACGGTTGGGGCCATCCCTCATTTTGATACCAACCAACCGATCAGCAAAACACCGGCGAACCATCAGCACATCCAACTCTGACAGTCCAGTGGAAACGAAGTCCGGGAACTCTGTGCCAGCAACATGTCCGTTCGTGGCCATAGTTCCCCCAAGAGCTCCCTTCCGTGGACTTGTGCAAATGACTTGTGGACATGTGTTTCTGCTCCTCCTGAGTCCCGAAAGAAGAATCCCTCACCAAACCCTCCACACACCCCAAAAAGAGTTGGTACATCCTTGGATCCCTTGGCCATCCAAAAGCACTCCGCAACTCCCCTCCCCCGTGTCTGTCCACACTCCTGTCATATGTGTGATTGGCCGGTCATGTATCGGTCAGGAAGTGGAGGTCACCCATGAGTCGTCACTTTCATGTACTCGAGCCCTGGCGAACAAATCCAATATATTACCCTTCCTGCAACAATCATGGAAGGGGAAAATAGCCTGTTCGTAGAGGAAAGCGCCCTTCCAAGGGACCATATTCCACTTCCATGTTTGTTGGATGGAAGGTAACGCAATCCAAGTGGTCGTCCAACAAGGATCTGGCACAGCGTATCGGCGTACTACAGTAGCACGGGCACCAAGCGCATCATGTCTGTGTTATATTGTATATGGGAGTTGATCTAAACTCCTTTATCCGGGATCCATCTTTTTCGCCAAAAAATATTACTTTAGCCAAACTTTCGCCTTCCTGCACTTTATCTTTCGCCGAAGTATGTTGTCGTATTTATGTGTGCCATGTATGTTGTGTTTTGTTCACGTAAATGGTTTCTTCTTTACTGGCAAACACAAAATAGAAACTTCACTGTTTGTCAGCATGTGTCTTCTACTTAACTGTTGACACCCTGTACGTCTTTTTTGTTTGTCCCGAGTGTCAGCAAGAATGAAAATTGCAAGAATCACTGTAGTTGCCGGTCACTCAAACTTACTCATAATGGGCTGGGGGTCAGATGTGGCAGGGTGAACTTTCGCCAATCTTGAGCTGAATTTTCGCCAAACTTTCGCCTTTTGCGGGGTAGAGTTTTGTGGCAAAGCCACCCCCAAAGCAGGAGCAGGATTAGTGGTAGTAGTACCTGCAGCCTGAAACATCTGCTTATAAATGGTCGAAGACTGTTTTCAATTTAGAAGTGGTCTTTCGTAGAAAACCCCGTTCCCAGGCCCACACCAACTGACACAAAATCTCACTTTTAACTCGGGTCAGGCCTGGCATCATTGACTAATGCATGTTCTACCGCTGTAAGATATCTGTACAACGTCTTCAATCCCTGCACTCGAGGTGATACCCTGCGTGACAGCCGTGCTACTCTTCCGACAAAGTCCTCACATTGGAAAGTAGAAAATGCGATGGGGTTGCAAACAGCGCCCAACTTGTGTTGTTGAAACATCGCTAGCACCAAGTGAGATAGCCCATGCCCTTTTGGCTTCAGTTTGTACAAGCATTTGCCAAGCTTGTAGGATTGTTTTGCAAGTTCACCATAGATCTTCAAAAAAGTGTATCCTGCAGAGATGGCTCTGTGAGCATCATCCATCTCTAGAAAAAAACCTGAAGCAAATAGAGTTCGGAGAAACACGCCCATCGACACACAAGCATCGCGAATCAAAGTCAGCATTGTATCCTGTGCATCTCCGTGAACGTGTTCCTCTGTAAGCCATTCAATCAGTTTTGTCACTTTTCCTGTGTCCATCCCTTTCGACCACTTTGCAAAAGGGTAGATCCTAGGCCCTTTGTACCCCAATAGGTCCCAAGTGAGCTTGCCGAAGTGCACACGCTCGCATGTGTGGCTTTTTTGGAAGCGTTGTAGCTCTTGATTGAGGAACTGCATAGAATCCTCCTTGGAACGCTGTTTGAGCACCCCCTGCAACATGTACACTAGGGAGCTTGCGCAGAAATCTTTTCCAACGCCTGCATAGTATATATGAAACAGGTCTCCCTTGAAGAAATTGGCCAAATCGTTTTGTTCTGCAGGTAAATGAGAAAATAGCGGACTTGGTTCATCACATGGGAGTATGTTTCTTCTACCCATTGTGGCAACCCACTCCGCAGATAGAAAGTCCAAGTCTTCATATGGTGGTCCATTGCTTTTCCCAGCAGCGCATAGATGGCAAACTCCAGGCAACAAGGTTTGTGCAGTGGAGGATTTGCGGACATTGCTGAAACTCCTTGTCATTAAACCAGCGTCTCGGAGAAACGGTGCGTCTCCAGTCATTCCAAGAATTGCAACCTTGAAAGTGTGACCTGCATGCTGAAATCCAACATTGAACAAATCAGCTAGCTCCCGCCCCCAAAAGTTCATCAAATCATAGAAGACTGTTTTGTCAGCCTTGATATAGTCATTGTGTATCGCAGTCAATAGAAACCGGTTTCCAAGTGAACTTCCGAGCATATTGACGCCCATGGCCACTTCATCCAGTTTTGGATCATGCAGCCGGCGTTTGGTCCCACGATTTTGAGGCCCGGTTTGCGAAGGCTGCATGTCGGCCACAGGCCGCTTCGATGTTCCCATTCCCAAACACGGGAACATTGATGCAATCATTATACTGTCCTTCTTAAAGGTGCGCCCACCATCACCATGCAAATAGTATGGGATTACGTTGCCATAGTCTTGGAGACCACATTGGAAAACTTCGTGTTCCGGGAATGCCACCCGGAATCTCTCCCAGAAAGCTTTGAGACCATCATGGGCCCTCTCCAATGGCATGCCAATGATTTTGTGAATACACCCTCGATGAGCAGTGGCATGTATCATATCTTTTGGATTTAGGCACGGATATTCTAGCTTTTCTTCCCCCAGCATGATGTTCTGCACACGAACGTTTAGAGCTTGGCCGCATCCAAGAAGTGCTTTAAACAAAGGTGTGTCAGCATCTTCCAATCGTATGGAAGCTATCTTGTGGAGGGTCGGGCAGTCATCGCGTTTGGAAGCCGCCACGGCTTGCTCCACGCAGTCGGCTGCAGGAACCTGAAGTCAGAGAGATACTAGCCACCATTCATAAGTCCTTTTTGCCTTTAGTGCATGTATTTTGCACACTTTGAGAATGTTTGAGCAGCTTCAAGGTTGTGCAATTATATTTTTTTGCAACCATTGTTTTGAAAGCTACAGCAAGTTTACTGATCGCATTCGGTTTAAAGTTTCACTGCAGGTTGGAGCCAAGCAACACCACGGCTGTAGTTTTTGCCAATGAGCTTGACTGTGTCACTCAGCGGAATGGGCCCTGGCATCGTAGCACGTTGATGGGACATGATGGGAAGATGGTGAACAGGGGCAAGAACCATGCAAGTTTTCATTGCTGCATGTCCTCCTGCTTGCATGCTTGTCTACTTTGCATGAATCAAGAGTTTCCGCGGTGAAATTGGAATAGGGCCGCCTTTCTTCAATCGGCAAACGTCGACAGTCCATCCCAGAACCCCAAGCCAACTCAGGTTCTAGAAGGTGCTCTTTCCACCCCCATGCCCAAGTTGGGAGACCCAACATGCATCCGGCCAGCTGTATACCACGGATGCAAATTTCATAACATCTAAGATTCACGCTCTTCCTTTACATGCTTCAACTTCCTGGCCTTCACCACAAATTGCCTCATTGAGGGAAAACATCTTTAGCCAAAAGATAAACACAGTACACACGGAGTTCAAGCAACCGCGATGTCACAGACCCTACATCAGGATGTCGCTTTGCAGCTGCTTCAGCGCTGGTGGCTCGCACAGTCCTTACACAATGGATGGATTGCAAGAGGCTTGGCACTATTTTCAGGCCGGGGTTGAAATCGGGTGGACACCCTTTAGAGAGCCAAGTGTCTCCTTGCTAACTTGTTTGTAGGCCATCTCCAACTTGTCACACATCCTTGAGATGGAGCCAGTTGCATTGAGAAAGAATTGTTCAATGCAAACTTTGGGCAGCAAAACTGTTCTAATTAGAATTGCACCTGGGAACCAAAGCAACCAGAAACAAATGGTTGTTCCAATATGGCAATTGAGATCCTTTACATAGGAAGTGGCTGTTTGGGGGGGAACATCCATTTCTTTCTGTAGGGTGTTTGGGTTTCAAGGAAGCGCCCTCTTCAAATTATGTTTGGCAAGACTTTAGCCTAGAAACTCCTTTGTGTACCCATTGCTGCCACCTTCTGCTTGCATATCCGCCAACTCATCGTAGAGTTTCTCAAGGCTCTTTTGCGTGGTGTCCATCTTGGATACTACCCTGGGCATTGCTGGGCTGAGGCAGGAAGTAAACTGTGTGATCATGAACTGCAGGAGACCACAATTAGTACAAGGGGCGTAGCACAGGATGTGTCGACCTTTGCTAGATCGCGAAGCTTGTCACTGGTGTTGGTAAGGCTTGACATACTCTTCAAAACACCCTTCATAGTGTCAGGAAGCTTGCCTGGTGCCTTGGGTCATGAAAACCACAAGCGGGTGCTGTTGAAACTTCATGCACTGTGCACGATGGGTTTCTTATTTTAACTTATATACTTGCATTCGCGTTGCAGTCTTGTGTGCATCACCTTCCAGTGTCAAGTTTCCAGCTGCGCCTAAGTTTTCAAAACCCCCGGGGTTCATGTCCATGGTTGGGAAGTCATCCAGCTCTGCGTCCTGCTCAAAGGATCTCTTTCGGGAAAGACGTTCCACGTCCTCCCTCTTCAGTGACCCTTCAGTACGCGTGTTGACCCAATACTCCATCGTGGTCTCGTCGTATTCACGCAACCTAAGGCACATTAGATGCATGCATGGACATAGAATAATGGCACCCTTGAAGGATCAATTGAAAC